TTTTCAACAAGATGGCGATCCAAAACATACTGTAAAGATTATTTAGGAATGGATAGGAAAGCAGAATTTTAAGCTAATTTTCGCTCCATACATATAGAGTCTATATATAAATCCTATCCCGACTTCAATCCTATTGAAAATCTGTGTTCAATAGTGAAAAGACGGCTGGGACAGTATGATGCAGCCCCAACGAACATTGACAGCTTATGGGAGCGCGTAGAAGCGGAGTGGAGCCAATTTCCGAAAGAAATGATTCAAAGTTTGGCTGAGAGCATGCCAAAAATAGTCAACAAAATTATTGCTAATAAGGGTTTTGGACTAAATATTAAAAATGTTTAGTTTTTTTTAGTTTTTAGTAGTTTTTTTTTAAACGTGCAAAATTGAGTTTATGTGGATTTTTTCGGTTTTTTATTTCTAATTTTTTGAATTTTGCTAATTTAGCCTTGCAACTTGTATTTGTATTTGTATTTGTTAAGAATACACTAATAAACAAACACACAAAAAAATTTGTTGATTTGCTGGTATGGTTTAATTTTTATGCGTGATGAAAGTCAAAGTTCTGTAACATTCACTCATTTTTGCTCGGTACTGTATATACTTTGTGGGGTCTGCCACGCCTCCTTCTGCCTGTTACATACATTTCAACAAAACCATTATACCCTGATTTCCCATTGAAAATGGGTTCAGGGTATAAAAATACAAACACAATTCAAAAGCAAACACAATTCAAAAGCGTGTATATGCACGTACATGTATTTGTGCACACCATAGACAACAAATGTTTGAGTGTATACACACGCATAGAGAAATATAGCGTGCATTGCCAATTGCTTCCTCCATTCGTTATTTAATAAATGTTGAAACTTTTAGCATATGATCTACACATTCTATTGAATATTTGACATTTTATAAAAGCGACAATAAATTTACTATTATCTACACTCATAGCTGACCTTCAAGTTTAATGAATGAAAAATATATCAAAAATTGAAATTAAATTAAAATAAATTAAAATTTAAAATTAAAATACGACTAAGCCAGAGAGGGCAAAATCGACTCATCGCCCTGATCAAGAATATATACACTCTATGGGGTCTGCCAGCCTTCCTTCTGCCTTTTACATACATTTAACAAAATCATTATGCCCTAATTTCCCATTGAAAATGTGTTTAACGTATTTAAAATTCTCGTGTAAATGTTATTACATATGTTCAGCTCTGCAACAGTGCTAGTTACAGATAGCCTCCTTGATCGATCACGTTGCCAACCGATACCCTGTAATTTTGAAATTCTTGGAGCATAAAAATGAATTGAAAAGTTACGTTATCATAGACATAGTCTGTGCACCTTTTATTATAATAGAATTTCTTATAAAATATTCGATAAAATATTTAAATATTTAATATTTAATGGAAACTATTAATCTAACACTATTTAATAATGTTATTTAGGAATATATTTTCATGGTGATGCAAAGAATATATTCCAAATCTGAAATGTCTGGCTCTAACAACGGCGAAATACTTTACGTCTATATAGATAATAGTATAGACATTTCACAAACTCGAGTAACTCCTTCATTGCGTGACTAGCATAAATAACTCGCGATTGCCTGACTAGGAGATATCCTGACTCTACAAAAAATCTGATATATTATTGTTCCTCGTTTCGTTTATATTGCATAAATAACAATAAATCTTTTGAAGCTCCCAAAAAATGTTTAAAATACTCTACTGCAATTTCGGGGGAAGATGGTCGCAAAACTCAGATATATACAAAGTCTATTCGTACTGCGTATATGTGTCTATATATGTGAGTACATTAACATGACCAAGTATCTAGCTGTTAGGCCTTTGAGAGTGTTGGGTCCACACAGACGAGTACACAGACGAACATGACTAGAGCGATTGTGCTCGTTGTGCTCAGCAATAATATACGATTTTTATAGTTCCGCCTATTTCCTCAAATCCACAATGCCTCAATTTCCCATTTTCAATTTCATTCAGGGTATACATACAAATTGAAATAAATATCAATTGCATAACTATGTAGTAAGATTTAGACATTATTTACAAAATACCAGACAGTATCTTGAAACGGCACTCGTCTGTTCCTGGCTTTATCACTCAGATAGCGTCTACTGAAATAGAGACTTTCAATTAATCAAGAAACCCACCAGACGTTATCTCCGTGACAAAGCGTAATTTATTTTATATTTTTAATATGTTTTGAAAGTAAATGAATATAAGAGAAATGTCTCTAAATAGATCGAAACTTCTTCTTGAGAGCAGACAGACAGATAGACGGACATATCGACGGACATGCGGACAGCAAGATGGACATTGTAAAAAGACAATAGAGAGAAGCTCCCACGCTCTCACGAGCGAAATGCAAACTGTGTCCGATAAATAGCAGCACTGTCCAACATATTCTATATTTTTAGTAAATATTTAAAATGAGAAGTGTTTTCACCGGAAACTCATATCGCACACACGTGGCCACATTTTCAAGTGGTTCCTTTGCCTCAGCCGAAATCGAGTGTGCACCACTCAAACCTGTACATACAACTACAAACATATATGCATACATACATACCTACTGACAACGTAAATAACGTATCGACGTTGGATTAGAATTGATATTGATAAAATAGTTTATACTTATTTTTGTCTGAAGAGATAACCAGAAGATAGAAGCCACCTCCAACCGGCCTATATAAGCGCCAGCACAATTCGATTAAGACATTGTACGAGCAATATGTTCAAGTTCGTGATTCTGTTGTCTGTCGTTGCCTGCGCCTTTGGTGCTGCTATCCCTGAGGGTCTCCTGCCCCAGTTGGATGGTCGCATTGTTGGCGGCACTCCCACCACCATCGGCAGCTTCCCCTGGCAAATCTCCCTGCAGCGTAATGGCGGCCACTCCTGCGGTGGTTCCATCTACAGCTCCAATATCATCGTGACCGCTGCTCACTGTCTGCAGGGCGTGTCCGCCTCCAGCTTGAAGGTGCGCGCCGGTTCCAGCTACTGGAACTCTGGTGGCTCCCTCATCCAGGTCGCTGCCTTCAGGAACCACGAGGGCTACAACCCCAACACCATGGTCAACGACATCGCTGTCATCCGCCTGAGCTCTTCCCTGTCCTTCAGCTCCAACATCAAGGCTATCGGTCTGGCTACTTATAATCCTGCCAACGGCGCTGCTGCTTCCGTCTCTGGCTGGGGCACCCAGTCATCTGGATCCAACTCCATCCCCACCCAGCTGCAGTACGTCAATGTGAACATTGTCAGCCAGTCCCGTTGCGCCTCCAGTGCCTACAGCTATGGTAGCCAGATCAAGAACACCATGATCTGCGCCGCTGCCTCCGGCAAGGATGCCTGCCAGGGTGACTCTGGCGGCCCATTGGTTTCTGGTGGTGTCCTCGTCGGTGTTGTCTCCTGGGGTGTTGGCTGTGCCTACAACAACTATCCCGGTGTCTACGCTGATGTCGCTGTCCTCCGCTCCTGGGTGGTCAACGCGGCCAACTCTGTCTAAGAACTTTGATCAATAAAGCCCGTCTAAACACATACATTTTTGTTTGTTTTCATAATTTTCCTGATGAACATGATATTCTTGATATTTCATTTCTTTTCTTATTAACCTGATTTCTGGAATGGAATGGATTCGTTTATTCTTATTATTATGTATATAGAAGACACTATGATTGAAACTAGCTTCACAATGTGTTCAGAGGAGAAGGGCAAAAGCACAATTTTCTATTTTTCCAACTTTTTATACCGTGAACCCATTATCAATGGGAAATCAGGGCATAATGGTTTTGTTAAAAGTATGTAACAGGCAGAAGGAGGCGACGAGCTGAGTCGATTTAACTCTGTCCGTCTGTCTATCCACAAAAAAAGTTATTAACTATTAAGTTTTCATAGTAAGCCACCACTGCAGCCAATGCCTGTGTGTGTGCGTGTGCGAATAATTATTGAAATATCAGTTGCTCAAAGGGTTCCGGGGATCTCGTAGTCGAGCAGTCTCGACTAGAGCGTTCTTACTTGTTTATATAAATGTAATACCTATAAATTACGTGAGAATGTAAAGACAGCAGACCCTATCTGAACTAACTGAACTACTAGAAATTTTCCTGAATCTCTAGGATCCCACTCTAGCAAAGGTTCTGTTTACAGCTCCTACATCATCTTAACAGCTGCTCCCTGCTTACAGCATGTGTCTGCCTCTATGTTTAAAGGATCCTCACTTAAATCACTGACTTCTGCAGTCTGTAGCTTCCATCATACTATACTCTTTGCATTCCTCTTTCCCAATTCCAAGATCAATGGTAATGGTCTAGCCCGCTTTACTCCTGGTAGCAGTGCTTCTGTTTTCGTATCTGGTTCAAGCTCTATATTCACTCCCTGTTAGCTAGTTATAAACGGAAGTTACGCTGCTGGCCCATCGCCTCTGGAGACTATCTAATTGAATGTGAATGAAATGAGACTGTTCAAATCGTTATAGCATTAATGTTTTATTGGCAACAGTTTAGGCCTACTGCTCACGAGCCGCTGAGTTCCAGAGGCGGCTCTTGGTCTTGACATTGGCCTTATCCTGTTTGCTGATGGGGCGCAGATGCGCTGCATCAACAATATCTCTGCGGGAGTCAAACTTTTAGATGAATTCCTTTGAGGTGTGATTGGGCTTCGAGGAGTACTCACTTGAACTCTTCGTAGGTCTCGGTGTTTGTCACCGCCCTCAGCTTAGCATCGTTGCGCAAATTGTGGAGCTCCTCCTTGCGCAACAGCTCGAGACAGTCGTCCGCCAGCCGATGCAGCTCCTCGGGAGTTATGTCTAGTGAATCAGACATCTGGCTGAGTAAATGTCAAAATATTTACAAATACAAAATGCGATAGCTAATCGAAGCGAGTTTGTTTGTTTGACAATGGTTGCCCGGGCGACCAGTTCGAAGAGCTCGAAGAGCTTTTGATAAGCCATCAACAGGCGATTAACGTTTACAGCTTGCGATAATACGTTAGACCAAGGTGCATTCAGTAACCACTTGACTTCCGTGTGTGTTCCCCGACATGGTCTCCAGCTCCGGTCTCACACTTTTGCCGCTGATCGGCTGCTTCCTTGGCGGACTCGCATTGCCGTTGAGCCCGGACCTGCGCCTCGGTCGCATTGTTGGCGGTGATAGCCTGCCTATACACAATGCACCCTGGCAGGTCTCCATACAGCTAAGCGCGCAACACATTTGCGGCGGCGTCATCTACAGCAAGGACATAATCATTACAGCGGCCCACTGTGTGGAGCAGAAATCCGTAACGCTGCTGCAGGTGCGTGTGGGTGCCAATCAACACAATTCGGGCGGCTCGCTTTACCCAATCGCCAGCTACAAGGTCCACGAGTCATACGATGACCAACTGCTGCACTACGACATTGCGCTTCTGCGGCTGGCCACGCAGCTCAACTACAGTCTGTCGGTCAAGGCGATTGCCTTGGCAAGCTCGAGTCCCGCAGCGGGCAGCAGCGTCTCCGTCAGTGGCTGGGGCTACACCGGACAGAATGGATCCACTAGCTTCGCCAGCAGCCTGCAGTTGGTGCAGCTGCTGGTCATTGATCGAGCCGAATGCGCATCCGCCAAATACGGCTATGGCTGGGATTTTGTGGGCGTTGAAATGATTTGTGCATCAGCTGCCGATAAAGATGCTTGCACTGGCGACTCAGGCGGTCCCATGGTGTCCCAAGGATTGCTGGCAGGCATCGTGAGCTGGGGCTACGGTTGTGCGCAGACGAATTATCCGGGCGTTTACGTTGATGTGGCTGTGCTGAGGCACTGGATAGTTAAGACCGCAAATGATTTGTGAAATCAATAACTAAAAGTCAGTCAATTAAAATAAATCACTCCTACTTAAGCAATAATGCAATATTTAAATTTAAAAGGCATTCGCGCAGTTCAATGAATTCGCCGCAAACGCTTGCTTAGAGAAAATATTCGGTTTATATTCTATTGGTATGTATTTGGTATTTTTTAGCGCATTCTTATCAAGTGTACCCCAAGAAAAATGAATTGACATTTTCACAGGAGTGATATACATGAATACAATAAAATAAAATAATGGAAAATGAAACTAGTTTAAATTGCAGTTTACGCCCCCCAGGTGGAATCGAACCACTTCGACGTTAATCGACTACGGATTTGAAGTCCGCACCCCGGACCACCGAAGCTCAGTGGGGCAGATTTTTACTACAATTAGTTGTATTTATACGAGTAACAGTCACAAAAAGCACTTGGGAATTCTAAAAGTGATACCAATTTTTATCACCACGGAATATCAAAGATTTGTATCTACAAAAGTAACCCATAAACCCTTTTATTTCAATAAAGAACATGGCGCAAAACTCCATTTGGAATGATCAATATTAATGAAAAGTTATCAAACATATTAGTAGTGCAAAAATACAAGGCATATTTAAATTAAGGTCGCTCTCAAAGCAATCAAATACAACTTATAACCAGTATGAATTATTCATTTGCGTGGCTGCTGTATGTGTATCTGGGGCTTCTGCTGCACCGCCACCGGCGGCTTGTGCGAATGAGCCACCTGAGCTCCAGCAGGTGTAAAATCTGTGTTACCTTTAACAGGTGCACCGCTAACTGAAGCCGAATTAACATTGACTGGTTGCTGTAACAAAAACATTTATAAATAATACATTAAATATAATTAAAATGAAAGAATATCCATATTTACCGTTAGACCCGTGCAATCCTCGGCGTCCTTAGCTGGTCGCTCAGAAGCAGGCGCCTTATGCTGCACAATGCGCATTCCACCAGCCTTCACTAGAAATAGATATTACTACGTCATCAGAAGTTTATAGATTTTGATCAATGCCCAAAAGACAGGCCAACACGTACATACATATATGTATGCGTGTGTGTGCGTGTATGGGGGCGCTTTATCAGCAATCGCCTTCCCAAGAGGCAAGCTGTGATAATAGCAATGATATTTGGGTCAATATAATATAAACTGATCAATTTAATGACTCCAAATGCGCAATTGACTAATAAAATCATCCAGAACATTTATAAAAATCCAGCAAAATTTTATTAAAAGATTACATACAAGACACGCGCATACCCAACACACACAATGGAAGAGAATCTCTAAATGCACTTACATGCAGGTGGGTGTCCAGCTACTAGATTCGGTTGTTCGTCCGCCATGTTTTAAACAAATTGCAATCTAAAAAGTAGGCAAAATAAAAATCGGCTTAAAAAAAACATATTTTACCAATAACCTCTAATAAGGAACTTAAGTGTTCGCTAGTTTCTGCGTTTTAGCTGGTGACACGAATGCAGTTTAGTTAGCGATGAGCAAATCACGGCGACTCACGTACGCGGTCTGGCAACAACCTAAAACATAAACAAAACATAGGTGCTGCCAGAATATCACAAAATATCGATGACAAATCATTCATCGCATGCAATTACTTGCCGAATTCGTAAAAGATTTCATCCAAATTTGCCGTATTAAGTAAGAATAGAGTCAGTTCTCATATAATTTAAAAACAAAAATCATACGAATTTAAAATGAAAGACACTAGGGTAGGTAGTGGTAAATATAGTTCTTACAGTTACATCACCACAAAAATCAGTTTGACCTTTGTGAACCATGAAGACAATTGAACTTCGTTTCATGTTTTTTCTGTTGTTGCTGCCAATGACAACTACAAATAATTACAACAACGGATCCATACAATTGCAGCCATTCCCTCCATTGAAAAATGACAATTTGCTGCGTGCCGCACGTGGCGAAGTCGTGGATCGTGTCCCAGTTTGGGTGATGCGCCAAGCAGGACGCTATTTACCTGAATTTCAGGAGCTCCGCAAGCTACATGACTTTTTTACAGTTTGTCGTACTCCAGAGCTGGCCTGCGAGGTGACAATGCAGCCGCTGCGACGGTTCGATCTGGACGCCTCCATAATCTTTTCGGACATCTTGGTTATACCTCAAGCATTAGGATTGACGGTGGAAATGCACGCCGGTGTAGGTCCTGTGCTGCCCCAGCCCATTCGCACGCCTGAGGATCTGAAGCGATTAACTCCAGACGGTGCTCTGTCCCGGCTCAGCTATGTGGGCGATGCAATAACGATGATGCGCCACAAGTTGGATGGTCGTGTTCCTCTGATAGGCTTCACAGGCGCACCATGGACTCTCATGGGCTATATGATCGAAGGTGGCGGCAGCAAGACCATGTCGAAGGCTAAGGCTTGGCTGTACGACTACCCGGAGGACTCGAAACTTTTGTTAAATCTGCTCACAGATGTCATAGTGGACTATCTGGAAATGCAGGTGGAAGCGGGCGCTCAAATGTTGCAAATTTTTGAGTCGTCTGCCGAGCATCTGACCAAGGACGAATTTTTGGTCTGGTCGGTGCCCTTTCTGCGTCGCATACGCGACGACCTGGTAGATCGTTTAACCAAGAAAGCTGTGTCAACCGTGCCATTAGTGAGTACCTGTCCATGACTGACCTCATCTCGGATAACTTGATTAAATGTATTTTCAGACGATTTTTGCCAAGGGCGCTGGACATTCGCTTAAAGAGCAAAGTGAACTCGGCTATGATGTCATTGGATTGGACTGGACGGTGGATCCGGTTGAGGCGCGTGCAGCAGTTGGACCTAATATAACACTACAAGGCAATCTTGATCCGCAGGATATGTACCGTGATCCCAGTGAATTACATACGCTTACCACCGATATGGTTCACAAATTTGGCAAATCACGCTACATTGCAAATTTGGGTCATGGCATAACGCCACAGACACCCATAGCTAGCATGGAGGTACTCGTCGATGCGGTGCATAAAGCATTGTAGAATAGAATTACGATTGCAGTGTGCAATATCCGCATAGTTGTATTTACTTAACAAATACAATTTTGCCTTGGGGTAGGGAAATAAATGTTAGTTACAAAAGAAATATTGTTTTAAATTATGGCTATTCTACGTTATCGTACTAATAAACGCTATAGCTCGTTATCGATGGCTTTTAGGCAATAAAATAAAAATAATATAAATTGCGGGCTGCCACTAACATCACAAAGTTTTGTATTTATAGAAAGATCTTGATCTGCATTGCATTTTTTTTTTTTTATGGAAGTATTTAGTTTCATATTGCATTCAATTACAATCGAATCGAAATACTAATTGAATTCTATACGTTGTATCTGCTGTTCCTGCATCAACTTATCAAATAACATAAGTATACTCCCGCAGCATATTAGCAAAGTTCCCATAATAATTTCTGAAATGATAAGGATTATAAAAATAAATCAAATCAAATATTTATAGAAATTAGCAGTCACTACTTTTGCCAGGCAGTTGCTCGCCGAGCAGATATCCAGTTATAGCTGTGAAGGCGAAACTTAATGAATTTGCAAGCGGTACAGCTACAGTAATATTAGCACTTCGTAATGTCCACACATAGAGTACACTTCCGCACTGATTAAGTCCAAACGGAATCCAATAATTCAGACGTGAGCCGATCATTCGAACTTCGGCAAGAAAATTTCTATATCTAGAGCCTGTGTCCTTAACGTTCTCAATGCCTTGGCTGCCCAGCCGTATAAATGGATTCGTCACACCCCACAGCAGACCAACAGTCAGTAGTTGCACTAAAATTAGTATTACATTACAAATGACAAAGAAAACAAAAAGCTATTTAATAATATTTACACGCAGTTGACAGCATTGTTTATGTACATCAGCTGTGCCGCCGGCTGTCATATTCCCAGGGTTGCTTCTAATACTTACCAACACTATTTGCGTAGAGACGTTGACAGCACTGGACAGCTGTCAGATTCTTTTACGTCAAGCTTTCATTTCCTATAGGTGGGTTTTCGCATATTACCCGAAATATAATCACAAAACATCGCAATTTACATCAATAATATTGCAATGAAATGTATGAAAACACTAACTGCACATAAAATGCTTTACGTGACTACCAAAATGTTGTGGCGATCAAAGTGCTGTGTGCGTTTGAAGGCCGATTGTAAATTGCTCTTGTTTTGATTGGCATACAAACCATTTCAATTTTAATATTTAATCAAAAACTGACTAATTACTTACTGCTTAAACAGGATACTGAACAGCAATAGCAATGGCAAAGACCAAGGGCGAGAAACGCAAGAAGTCGGCGATCACCGAAGTTGTCACCCGTGAGTGCACCATTCACTTGGCCAAGCGTGTGCACAACATTGGCTTCAAGAAGCGTGCGCCGCGCGCCATCAAGGAGATCCGCAAGTTTGCCACGCGCGAGATGGGCACCAATGATGTTCGCATTGACACTCGCCTCAACAAGCACATCTGGTCCAAGGGTATCAGGTAAGTCCTCACACATATACACACTCCCACCCTTCAATATTAATAATAATATATCATTGCTCCACAGATCGACGCCATTCCGCGTGCGTGTGCGTCTGGCACGTCGCCGCAACGACGATGAGGATTCTCCCAACAAACTGTACACACTGGTCACATATGTGCCCGTGCCCACATTCAAGAACCTGCAAACGGAGAACGTTGAGTCCAGCGACGATTAAGCTAAACAGCAACAAAACACACACAGAATACAGTTTACGCCGCTATCAAAAATACGTTAATAAAAAGTAATTTTTATTTAGAAATAACTGAAGCTTAACATTTGTGTCTTAAAGTCATGTGCACTGAGACGCCAACAGGTTGACAGGAGGATCTAATATAACGCCATTTAGGATTAAATATTTTGGAAATGTGATGCTACATAGGACATGGCGATATTTCGTCGATGTATAAAATGCCGCATGTTGAAGCGCCTCTGTGGCCGGCAGGGAATAGTAAATATTAATTGTTTGAATGGATGGTAGCTGAAATAGTCATTTACTTAGTCCTTCGCTAAGTATAAATCGAGTATATTGGATTCAGCACAAGCTACATATTTCATTGTTAGATGAAGTGTTGGCCATCAGTTTGTAATAATCTGCTTTGTTCGCTCTACTGGAAAGTCTATTTCAGAGCTCTAATCTAAAAAAAAAAAAAAATTAGAAGAGGGTTTCATCCTCACAGCTGAAAACGCAAAAATCGCAAAGTAATAAATTGGCATGATACAATATATCGAAGAACACATTCTTGAGGCTTAGTATATGATTACCCCCGCTCTGCGAATCACAACTGGCTGAAGCATTTCAATTGCAGGCAAACCTCTCTGCTTTGGTTTGAATTGCAATACGTTATGTGAAGCATACACGTTCAATCCGTTTGATGAGGAAAAGAGAGTGGGAAACTACTACAGAAACTATGTATGTGTGCGTGAGGAATACTTTATTTAATAATATATTAACAAATTCAATTTCTTATAAATACATATAGGAAACATTATATATACACTTATATATAACAACAATAATACACTCAAAATAATTAATTTAGCATGAGACTAGAGCCTAATAAATTGTGGTCCAACTAAATAGATGCCCTCTCTATTGGATAAAGCCAAAAGCTGTTTTTCCGCTAATTCCAAACTTTGCAGTGAGAGTGAAGCAGGCAGTGTGCTCTCGCCTAGGAGCTGCTGAAAGCCTGCCACGCCTTGATGCTGGTAAATTCGCAACGTTTGTGTGGGCGAAGCATTGCTTAAACAGAGCAACAGATCCTTGGATTTGTGCAGATGCATGAGAAGTAGCTGACGCGGTGGCACAGACTCCTCCAAGTCAAAGATTTGCGCCAGCTGGTAGTCCAGCGCATTACTGTCCTTACTATATACATAAATAAATACATATATATATGAACGTAGATTAGTATTAGTTACATCACATAAACTTGTAAACTACTCGCCTGTATATGTAAATGGCAGGTGCTGGGGCTGCCGTCAAGACGGCCAGGAAGCTCCGATTCTCGTGCTTCGCCAGCGTCATTTGCTCAGCCTGCATCAGTGACAGGCGCTGCTGCAGCATATAGTTGCCATCCGAGGTCCACTTCCAAAACTCCACAGAGTTGGCGACAAGCAGGGCCAGTACATAGGCATTCCCCTCCGCGGTTGGATCTATCAGCTGTTTCACTTGCCCAGTTGGAATCGTGGCTTGCCGAGTGATAGTGCTATCAATGCTATCATTGGCTGCACAATAGATGTCCAGTGCTGAGAGCTGCTTTTGCACTGCTAAACAGTCTTGGAACTGCAGACGCAAGGGGCTTAGGAACAAGGCGTTGCTCTTGACAGCTGAAAAGCGATCGTTGTGCGCATTGGCAAATTTCTCATCGGGTTGCAATAGTTGCGCCAGGCCTGTAAAAACAAGACACAAAACAGACGCGTAAACATATGAGAGAGCATAAAGGCGAAAGTGTAAGCAATGCGGACGACGATAGAATACCCTTCAAATTTAGAATACTATTTTATAACAGACTAACTTATATGGAAAAGAAAAACAAAATTTAAAAAAATAGTAATTAAAATCCATATTGAATGATCAAGTAAAATTGGATTTAAATCAATGCAAATTGAAAAGTATTTTGGGGTGGAAATAGGGGTGTATTAACAATCAATGCAATTATGTAAATACATATTAAATATATTAATCTTTAATTTTTGTAAGCCAAGTTTTTCGAAAGGTTTGCTTTGGAAAATTGTCCACTAGTCGAATATCCCCCATTCGACATTTAGCTAAAACGTAAAGCACAACGAAACTGATAAGGGGCAAAAAAGTGGTTTAGTTTCTTTGTGGGACTCTTTAAAAGCAGCGGACTCGCAACTGGACTTACATTCGTCGAGCAGCTAGCTGAGAATAATAAAATCGATCCAAGTTAAATACGCATTGAGAAAATGCTGAGAATTTATTGTTGGCTGCTTTGCTGTGCAGCGCTGGCCACGCTAGGCCAGTCCACGAAGGTGGAGAACACCGAGGCCAGCAGCAGAAGCAGCGCCAGCGCCACAGAGAGCCCCATCCCCAAGGCGACAGCATTTCAAGATGTTAGCACGGAGGCTGTTCATACTACTGCAGCAACTACTACAACTACAGAACAATCTCAGAGCAACGCAGCGAATGGATCGAATCCAACCCTGCCCATGGTCATCAATACATGGAAATTCCCAGAGGCCAATGCGTTGGCGTGGCGTATACTCAAGCAGTCGGAGGGAGGGCTGCGGCAGACACGGAACGCCGTCGTAGAGGGCTGCACCAAGTGCGAGCAGATTCAGTGTGACGGAACAGTCGGCTACGGCGGGTCGCCGGATGAGCTGGGCGAAACCACCTTAGACGCCATGGTCATGGATGGGGCGACTATGGATGTGGGAGCTGTGGCCGGTTTGATAGGCGTCAGGGATGCCATACGTGTAGCTAGATACGTGTTGGAGCGCACAACACACACCATGTTGGTGGGACAAGGAGCAACAAACTTCGCCGTGGCTATGGGATTCCGCACTGACTCGCTGGTAACGCCCGAGTCACGAGCCATGTGGCAGCAATGGAAAGCACAGAATTGCCAACCAAATTTCTGGCAGCGGGTCAATCCGGATCCGAAGATCTCGTGTGGTCCTTACGCGCCCAAGGCAACGCCCCTAACTCGCTGGAAAGAGGATCGTGCTCGCACCGAGTATAAGATTGGCCAGCAGCATCACGATACCATCGGCATGGTGGCCATCGATGCCAATAACCAAATACACACAGGCACCTCCACCAACGGGGCCCGCAACAAAATTCCCGGTCGAGTAGGCGATTCACCCATTGCCGGGGCCGGCAGCTATGCGGACAATGAAGTGGGTGCAGCTGTGGCGACGGGCGATGGCGACATCATGATGCGCTTTCTGCCCACATTCGTGGCCGTGGAGGCAATGCGGGCTGGCAAGACGCCCGCCGAGGCAGCTGCCGAGGCTGTCAAGAGAATCGTTAAGCATTACAAGGACTTTGCTGGCGCAGTCATTGCGGTAAACCGACTGGGACACTACGCAGCCGCCTGCTACGGCATGCCCGACTTCCCCTTTGTCGTCAGCAGCCCGGCTGAGGCAACTACAGTGAAGACAGTCAAGTGCATGCCGGCTAGCGCGGATATTGAAGTTGTGACACTGAAAAAAACATTGTAAAGTTGATTTTCTAGTAATCAAATAAAAAATACACAAAATGAAAATAAATGCATTTTAATTTCGAACAAAGAAACAGTCTTTGGAAGTGTTGCAAAACGATGCAGAATCTATTCATTTGCCTTTCATAATTATGCCAATCACACCCGCAAAATGTTTTCTATTGAATTTAAAAGGAAATAGTGGCTTAAAATATGGGAGGATAAAAATTGTATATGATTAAATATATTTTAAAATACAAAATTTAGTTAATTATTGAGCGCATACGTTCAATGGATATTAAGTTAAACTGAAGCAGTAATCACTAAAAGAGTCGAAATTAAAAAAAAAATTTTATTTAAAAATAAGGATTAAACATCGAATTCAGCTTTTTTATTATTTATTTATTAAAACCAAGAATTCTTTGCTTTTGATATTTTAATCGCTTTGTTAGTTTGCGAGTGTTGCAAAACGTACCTCTATTATTGCATTCATTTTTGAAAATGTTTTGAACACCCACACGTTCAGATGGTATGATATGTGGCCAACAACAGCATTTTTAAATATACCGATTCAGGAACAGTGATTTAATTGAAAGTCATTATAATAAAATGATAAATTGTGAATAAAACGTTAATATAAATAAGTTATTTGGAACACTGTACACATATTGATGTGACAGATGTTGTCTGGTTAGCCATCTTGTTGTCGATGTCTGAACGTGGCTAGACCCATTCGATTATTTTCCGCCAAATCAGCGTCACAGCAGACGACGCGCCGCATACGTGAAAAAGCGAAGTTGCAAAACGAAGCGAAAAGAGCGCAAACTCTAGAAAAGAGCGGCAGGGCCAAACATTAAGTGAAAAACTGGTCATAAAAACGCCGTCAAAATTAATAAAAACGCGCAAAACGCAAGCCGCAAGTCGCTGACTAAAATGGCTATACAGCTGGACAAAATTCTGGCCGACATTGCCAAGGAAAAGGCGCTGCATCCGAATAATACAAGTGCCACCAAACAGGAGCAGGACGATGCTTGGGCGCGAATTGGGCGCCTCAACAAGCTCACTGTGCACGAGTCGCGCTCTATTTTCATAGTTCTGCAAAAGAAATACGAACAGGAGAAACTAAAAGGGAATTCAGGATGGAAATTGTATGGACTAATGCAGAAAATCCATCAGGAGCCGAAGATCAAGACGGAAGAGTGAGTGGGCAAAATAATTGAATTTAAATAATCATAAACTAACTATTTGCTTTACGTTGCGTAGTGAACAATTGCCCATGGAGGAAGTGGAGGAATATGAAATGTTGGAGGTGCAGGAGCAGGAGGAAGATGATGAAGGCTCCGCCAACGCGAATCCACGACAATTTGGTCAAGCCACCAATTCCACAGGTTCGGCCAGCTTAGATGGCGATAGTCCGACGAAATCGAGTAGCACTGGCGGCGGCACTCCAGAAAAGGACGTTAAGCCGTATGCAAAACCAAACGTAGATACACCGCGTCCAGCATTTGAAGAGAAGAAGCTGCTCAATACAATGGCCAACAATCCGCAGCGTTCCAACTCACAATCGAATGCGGTTTCCGTGGCAGCCGCTGCACTTCAAAAGAAGGGAATAACTTTGAAAAAGACGCCTAGCAGCGCCGCCGCAGCTGGACACAAGTCGGCGTCCGGAGCAGCTACACAGCAGTCACAGTTGAGCAGCAATAAAACAACGTCCTCGGTACGCACCACAATTCAACTGCCCGATTCAATGAAACGCAAGCTCTCGGACGAATGCTCCAATACGCCGGTGCAAAAGAAGCTACAAAGGAATCAGACTAGCCCCAAGAGCACCCATACATCAGGAGGAGGAGGAACAGCGGTAGCAGCAGCTACAGCTACAGCCTCTGCCGAGCCCACAACTCCAACGAGTGCGACATCGAATGTGGTTCACACGACTACAGCTCAACTGCTGCAGGTAAAGAAGGATCGCGAGAGCAATCAGTCACCACCTCCAGGCATTAACATTATAACCATACCTGCCTCACAGCAGATCAATGGGAATCTTGTTAGTGGCGGCGCAGCCAACTCCTCGACAGGGGCTACCATGGCCTCCACATCTGTGGCCAGCACCAATGGCTATTCGCCGCATATGGAGGAGCTCAATGAAATCATCTTTGATTCTGGCAAAGTGAATGCCAGCTCCCACAATACTGCTGAGATTATTAACTTAGGCAATTTCGACAATTCACTGCCGCCGACATTCTTCAAGAATCTGTGCAACTCGACGCGCCACGAAGCCCTTGGCCTCTACGTGGCAAATGTGATGAATCGAATCTCACAGCGTGGCGCCGCCAAACTGGAGCTGGGCATACTCCGAGCCATCGTGGACGTACAAAGTGACGAGCTGGAGCAGTAACTGGCCACAGACGAGATTCGCAGAAGGAGCAATCCCCTCCCCCCTTAGAAGTAGTTAAGTAGAGAAGTGTTCGCGCAACAGATAACTCGATTTACGATTTTATTTAGTGGCGTTTACACGAGTTCTAGTTTACACTTGTCTGAGCCACTAGATTTATAAATTATTTTTCATTTGGGTTGAGGAATGACCTATACAGCAGCTAAGAACAGGAATATATTTCATGATTTCTGTGATATCCAACAAGCAGATCATATTTAATTTGTTTAGATATTATTGGCGGCTATTTGAATTTTAATCTTTAAATTACCCAAATCGAGGAGAAACATTTTATAACTTTTATGACGTCGAATACGTTGATATTTAATTTATTTATACATTATTTTAAAATTATTGACTTTCATTTTATTCTATTATATTTTTGAAATTATATAATAGGCCAGTGCTCATTGACTCGTGTAAACATAACAACTTGATATAGAATATATATCTGTATACTCTATGGCTAACGCAACAAATATCAGTTATTGGATACACAATGGTGCATCTTATTAATGGTAATAATATTTAACTTTGAACTCGTGTAAATTCTGCCAAGTTTATGCAAAGTATTTAAAAATGTTTGATAAGTATAAATATATAACACTATATACCACATATAGTTTATACTATATTTTTACTATATTTATATATATTCATTTTAGTGATTTTATAAACTTTATTTCGCTTTGCATAGACCGAGATAATGTCTGCCATCTATTATTCCCCCATCCTCCATCCCCACACTCAGTCAAAATTCATTCAAAAAATTTAGTTGATAAGTTCGAGATCCATTTCATAAATTAAATTATATGATAAATAAAGACGCATTATATAGCCGACTTACTTGCATTGTATATGAATTGCTGCTGCTGCGACTGCCACGCATAGGCATTCACTTGGTCCAGATCTTGGTGGTTCTGCCAAATGGCCAGCACTTCCGTCTTGCTGCTCGGCTCCTGCAGCAGCTCCAGACGACTTGCATTTAGCGGCAGCTGTTGCAGCAGGGAAAAGCTCTGCAGCACAAAAGAAGGAGCTGTGGGATGGAATATATCATGATATCCTCGAAAGACACATGTACATATATAGCTTACCTGTGAGGCGTCGCTGCACTGCAGCCACTTGCTCATTTAACTGCTGCCAATTGTTTACAGCATCTACTCCACGTTTCCATTTGTTGCTTCCAGCTGGCACATCCCCCAGCTCATAGTTGGCCACGCTCAGCGGCTGAGTGAATATCAGCTGGCTGGCCACATGCAAATTGGGACGATTGTGTGCCTTGTTGACCAGCAGCTCATTCACATTCAGCCCATTGATGTTATCCACCCAGAGCTCTTCGATGTTGCTACTGAGGATGCGCTGTTGCTCCGGAAGCGCGTTCTTCACCAGCAGCGAGCCGCGTATATACTGCTCCCGATCACAAAGAAGCAATTGATCCGCTTGCCAGTGAACGCCATTCACTGGACCCACAACTCGCAGGTCGTTGTAGAGATTCAGGGTTTCCATGACCGTGGTGCCGGCAATGGTGTGATTACCATAGGTGTAAACCGTATTGTTGATCCATTGCGCAATCGGAACGTTAGCTACTGTGCTGCTGGTCGTGGCAAAGAGACGTTTAATTGTTGCAGTCTGTGCGGTCTTGGGTGCATCTATTACAGTGACGCCCGGATTATCCTTGCGTAGAACGTCGTCGACTAAATTTAATTGATTAACACGCACATTATTTAGATCTCCCTCAACTTGAGCTACAGGTAGACGCCATTGTGCTGTTATGGTCTGTAGACCAGAGGTTTTTAATGAATTTTCCACGAAATCCTCGAAATTTAATGGGAAGTTGCTATAATAAAAATTGTTTTAAATATTGATATCAAATTATAGCTAATATATGGTAAATGATTATTATTTATTTAATATTAATATATATTAATTCAATTATTTTTAAAAATATAACCGCAAAGATTGAGCGGCCTTTTTTAAAATACGTTCACACTGTTTATGTACAAATCATGGTGATTATCGATAGCTCGATAGCTCGATTCTTGTATTTCTTGTAAGTGCCATCATTTGTGTGTCATCCCTGGAAGTATCAGTTTATTGTTTTTCTTGGTGTGAAGTGTTGAGAGATTGAAAAGTGCTGTCTGCCCGTAGAAAGTGCATTTAATTTAACATTAACCCCAACAAAACACAAGGTAAAACCTAGATTGTACCTGTGGTAATAATCGTGCCTGTACTTTGTGGGCGATTGCAACGTGTACAGAAATTTCACCTGCAAACAGAAGCGCGCACAGCTGATTGTACCTTGTATGTGTGTGATAGTTGACGGGGAGGGAACATTTGTACGTGTGTATATGTGCGGAGTGCATGTCAAACCGCGTTAAGCGCGTAAACAAATGCAAGTGAAACTCGATGCCAATTACAGTTAAAGCCTTTAACAATCACTTACCCAATGCCCTCAACAAGTGCGCCATCTTTGACACGTAGCTGTACTTGCTTGGCGGTCAGCGTTTCTGCAAAAGTGACGTCATGCTCGAAATTAAACGGCACATTTAGACGCTGACTGCGCGTACGGCTAAAGTAATTGCGTTCGATATGCTCCACATCCAAACCGTTTAGTGTGCCCTATTGCAATACAGTTAGTGTTTCACAACCATTTATACATGCGAAATTTGTACAGCGACTCACCTCAAACTCCAGTAGCCCGTTAAAGCTGGCATTGGCCAGCTTCACAGCTTGCAGTTCCACAAACTCGTTGTCTAGCCAGAGCTCGTCGAGCAGTTGCTGCAACTGATGCCCGTTCAGCTTCTCATAGATCGGGGGCACTGCAAACTCTACCTGCTCCACGTGCAACATGTCCAGCTCACCCGTTGCCCCCCCTCCCAGGTAATGTTTGAGTGCATCTAGCTGGTAGTCGTTTAGGCTGCTCACATTGCAGACGTGCTGCGGGGATAGCATCACCACATGACCTTTGACCTTGAATGGCGCCTGCAGCGTGCCGCCACCTTGCGCATACAGCATATCCTCTGGCACGCGCAATCCATTCACACGCCCCACACTCAGCGACTGCTGCAGCACAATCGGATTCACTGCAAAATTGCATTACATTGAAATTGCATTTCCTTATTGGATTTATGATCAATACGGCTATTTGATTTCCAATTAGACTAATAACTGCTACAAAATTCAGTTGTATTTAGTTGAATTGCTCCTAAAGCTTTAAGCTTTACACGGAATCAGTAAGAAGAGCTTTGCATTGTTTGCTTTCTTATTAGACTCGTGCTGATTGCAGACTGTAATGTAATCGGATAGTATTCATTGCAAAGATAAAACAGCAAGGTAAAGCTTTAAACTTGGGTCATAAGACAGATAGATGAGAGTTTCAATAATTAATTTACTTTGTAAATATTAATCAATGCAGACATATTACAGTTCAACCTTACCTAAGAGGAATATAGTATCTAGGTTAGCTCATAGAGCGGTCCATTTTCGTAATTTACTAATTAAGTTTATCGCTTTGGTTAAGCTAATTGACATTTTGGCTATTAACTGTGTTCTAAACGTCGACGTTATGTTTATAACCTTAGTTTAGTTCATGAAAATAACTAGTTTAGGTGACCTTAACTGGCATTTGAGGCACATGAGCTCAATTGTTATTGGTCAAGCTAAGTACGTTGACAGCTTTTATATTATCTTAAATGTTGGTGCCAAGAAATTCTGAATTGTTAGTCTGCTTTTAAAAAGCCAATTATAAACGAGTATAGTATAGTACGGTTGTACTTTGCTCTACCTTTTAAATAATATAATTAGCTTAATAATTCTTCACTGTTTTATTAAATTGAGTAAGTCCTTGGAATATGCAACATAGAAAAAGGTTTAATGTTCTCGAGACTCATTTTACGATTACACAAAGAAAATCAAGACTTAATTCATTATGAATATTGTAAACATGAAATCATTGCTAATTCAAATATTACTCAAGTTATTTTTGATAAAATAATATGAAGTCTCAAGTCCATGATTTGTCTAAGCCTTATTTCAAAGAACTAACGACACTCATCTTACGATTAAATAAAATATTGATGAATATTCATTTTCGGACCAAGCCAATCCCGATCATGATTCAATGTATGTATAAGTAGTGCTTGTCTACTTACCAAATTTGACTGCGGGCAAGTGTTCCGTGCCATTTAACCTGTAGCTCTCTTTGACCAGCTGCTCCAGCGTGTAGTTGTTGAGGCGCCCCTTCAACTGCACATCCTTATCGCTGGCCAGAGACGCAAAGACTTGCGGGGCTGTGAATAGCTGGGGGCCGCTGGTTTCTAGCCAGCAGTGACCGAATCTTTGGGCTGAGATACCGTTTAGAGTGTCTCCAAAGGTGAGACCGCTCACGTTGACAGCATGGCGAAAGGTGAAATCGCCCACGTATTTGATGTTGCCCGCCAGCTGCTGGAGCTGCTGCTCCACCTCTGCCACGGCGGCATTGTTTATGCGCCCCTTTAGCCACACGTTGCGTGCCTCGATCGTGCCATTGAAGTGCTCCGGCAACTGCCAGCTGTGCGGGCGCTGGGCGCCCTGCTTGTAGAGCTCCTCGAGGGTGTGGCCAAAGATCTGGCCATGCATGTGCAGCTGCTCGACGGTGAGATGCTCCGCCTGCAGCTGATCCACGTACAAGCTGCTATTGGAGCGCTGCTCCCCGCCGTGTTGCATATAGGCATGCAACTCCATTCCATTCAGCAGCAGCTTGGTGGCATTTAAGTGGGGCGCATCCAGACCCGCCAGCAGCATTGGATGCTTGAAGCTTTGGTTGCTGCTCTTTAGCAGCAGCTGCTGCGGTAGCTGCTCCACGTTGATGCCGTTGACCAGATTGACCTCGCCAAAGCCGTTGAGTATGGTAAGGCTCTGGGGCAGCCGCTTGGCGCCCTCAATCACCTGCACCTGGTCCACATTCAGCTGCACCAGCTCATGCACGTCCTGGGTATTGATGAAGCTCACCTGCGTATTGTTGGCGTTCAGTGGCTGCTCAAAGCGCAGGTTCAAATTCTCTAAGGGTTGATCCACGTGCAGTGCCTGCTGCAGTATTCCAACTGCCGATCTCTGTGAGGATGCATCGCGCAGCTCCTGCATTTGCAGAAGTTGTCCAATTGTGACATCGCCATCGATCACATAGTCGCCCTGCAGCTCGAGCGGCTGATCCGATACCTTCATTGGCGACATGGCACTCAGCTCGGCGCCCAGTAGTTGACCCTATAGAAGAGACTGAGGTCTGCAAAGATCAACTTTCCATTATTGACGGTCAGGGACACTCACCGATATGGTAATCGGCTCCAGCACACGAATATTCTCGAATCGCTTGGTGCCCTCAATCACCTGGGTGTGGTTCGCCTCGTGGAGCAGCACGTCGAAGCGCTGCCTGTCCACGTGTATGTGATTGAGCCGCTGGTTGATGTTTAGCCGATTCACCTCGATGGGCTGTGCGAATTGTACGTCCTGCTGCACGACGTAGTCTCCAGCATCGATGGACACCAGCTGGCCGAGTGGCCGCTCGTTGATCTCATTGCTGTTGACTCTGACTGCCTCGGCCTTCAGGTTGCTGATGTCGGCGGCTGCCTTCATGAATTGGACCTCGTTGCCGCGTCGCTTCAGCGTTTGCTCCAGCAGCTGGGTCCAGTCCTGGCCATTCAGTTTACCCGACAGCTGCAGCGCCTGCAGCGTCAGTTGATCCAATGCAGGCGCTGGCAGATCCATGGCCGCCTCCTTGTACTCCTCGCTCACATACACTTTGCCGGCGCTGACCGACTCGTAGATGGGCTTCTGTCTGTCCACCCCATTAATCTGCTCCGCCTGCAATGCCTCGTGCACCACCAGCGTACCAACTGTTATCTCATCGAACTCGTGCTGCTCCTTCGGCTGCTGCACTCCATCCCGCTTGACGGGATGATGCTGAGCCCGAGCTGCATCCATTTCAATAACGTCCAACGCACGCTTTGCATAACGCAGAGCATCCCAATAGTTTGCAGTCAGTTTCTGTTGCACATCGACAAACTGTGAAGCAAATCAGAGAGGATATATAATGCGATTCGATTACTTTGTGCTGTCTACTCTATATAAGTATATGACGATGATATATATATATGATGATCGAACACGCTTCATTTCATTTCATTCATTATAGAGCCAGCCAATTTTCCGAAATTGTTGAATGCTCGCATTGAGAACCAAAGGTAAAAACTATATGCAGTGGATATATCTATATATAATAATAATAATAACATAGAGCATTGTATATATTTTATACAATTATGCTTTACTGAATCATCATTAGCTTAAGCCACAAAAAAAAAAAAAAAAAAAAAAAAAAAAGAACCTTGAATTAGTATTGTGCAGTTGGTAGCACCCGACTGAAACTCGTTTGATTGTTTACATAAAACATTTGTGTATTTCGTTATTATTAGCCCCGCTTATCTTATTTAAATAATTTTTTAAGTATATGTGCATATTGTATTACTCACCGACTTGGTGTTCACGCGTTTAATGTGCATTTTCCGCAGCTGCTTTTCCCGTTCGCTGAGTTTATGCTGCAATTTGAGTTAAGTTGATTAGAGTGTCCCAATGAGTATCCAATACTTCCTCTTACCTTTAGAGCCAGCAATAATTGCTCCAGATTAACTGCATCCATTCTTTTTGTTTGCTCGCGCGCCCATTCGATGATTTGTTGCCGCAGGACATTGGCGTGCTCGTCCTGCTTATAGAGCGGCTGGAATACGTTTGTCTCATTGGCGGCCATATTCTCGTTGGCAATAACTGACAATAATGTAGAAGTGCACCGCATAAGGCAAACTGAATTTAGTGGAAGCTTGGCCAAAACCCACCTAAGTAGCTCTGCTCGTTCTCCTCGTAGCTGCGCATGCGTGCCACGCCCCTGCTGAAGGCGCCTTCGGTGAACTGCACAGTCGATTCCTCGAATTTCCAGTCGTTGAGATTGTAAATTTTCACATCCTGCTTGTTGCAGGCCACAAATAACAGAAACTTTTCCGAAACTGAGTGCTGTACGCGAGATATTTCAATTCACGATATGATCATATCATATATGTATAAATGTATGTTGTGTTAGTAAATAATATTCTATTTAATATGACTTGACTCTTCTTACTTTGCTATGCGATTATTAGTCTATTCAATATGATATACTATA